ATAAGTCATAACACAGTCAACCTCCCCTTTATAGCGTGAAGCTCACGATGTTGTAAGAGAGTCTGTGTACGATATACCTTTCGCAAGCTCCAGATCAGATGCGAGTTTCCTGCGACTTGCTATGGCAGCAAGTATCTCTGCATCTGCCTCTTCTTCTTTTTCTACATCAGTCTTCTTTGCATCTATGATGATATTAATATATATCCAGCTCGCAACTCAGTGAGACACACTCTCTGCAGCTTTGCGCTCGTGCACTTCCTGTGCTTCCATGAGCAATGGCCTCTCCTTCCGTGTCTTCTCGCGTTGGCGTTCCTCTTCCCTCTCTGCATCTTCGCGCTCTAATAGTTCTTCTAGCTGCTTCTTTGCCTTCGTCCTGTCAGAAACAGTGCTTAATGAAGAAAGCTTCGCCAGCTTGGCTTCTCGTCGTTGGGCGACAGGAACGTAGGGCACATAGTCATCGTCGTCATCAAATTTGTACATCGGTGACGGAGAGCGTGAGATGCGACGTCGTTTGGGTGCCGATTCCATGTCAGCCGCGATAATCAGTTGGTGAGTTAAGTACTAGTTAGTATTGAGTTAGTAGTTAATGAGGTGTTTTAGAAACACGTGACTTGGATTTGAGGTTCAACGGTTGCCGTTGCTCCCAGCAGGCAGAAACTTCAAATTAATCATAGTGACTGACTAATTCACACATCGCATGAAACATACACATTATGTGTAGAGTAATTAGGTATCTATCTATTTTTCATATGAAATACATCAGAATTATGTTCTTTTTCAAATTCTTCTATCAATTGCTGTCCCTGGCTCCCTGGCTCACTCGCAATGCGCTGTGTCGACAAGTGATCGACCTAGAAGTGACTACTCGACTATATATTGGCCCCAAAGTATTCCCTCTTCGTTATCGATGCTGGTACTACATCGGGTGGCGAAACGGTGGACCCTGGTTTGGGGCGGTGGGTGTCAACGGCTCCGATAGGGAGAGTGTACCTATGGTTTGTAAGCTCAGAGAAAGCACAGTGGAAAAGTGAAGGGGAAATTGAAGGAAAAGCTCACCGTTCCTCGTCACAACCATAAGCCTTCGGAGTGAGCTTGATGACAGTATGTAACGGTACATTGATGTAAGGCAGGTCAGCTTGTGGGAGATCGTGAAAGTACGCGTAGAGGCAACGGAGGATTGCCTGCCGATGGTCAGCATAGATTCGAGGGCGTAACAGAATTAGGACATGGATCTGAATAAAGAAAGACTATCATAGAGCGCTGGAATCTACACGTACTTGATGTCCAAAGATCAATATATTTTCCTGCCGCTCTAGTTCTATGATGACAGGCTCGAGACGCACGACAACATCTCGGTAGGACTCGCCGCCTCGGTAACGATAGTTGAATTTGTCCTCGTCACGGTTGGCGAAATCTTCGGGGTAGGCTTGCTGAAGTGCGAGAAGAACATTGTACCAAGAATGTCAGGTAAGAACCATTGACAAGAAGCTGCATGCACCTCAATCTCCTCATAGGTCATACCGTCGCAGACGCCAGCGTCGAGTTCATCGAGAGATTTCCAAGTAAGCTTGGGATAGGGAAGTTCTGCAGCGGTTTGGATCGTGCGTTGAAGGGTCGAAGTCCAGACCTGTACATCTGAGATGAGGTTCTGTACCATGAATAGAAGTAGATGGGTACAATGAGTGGTGCATCCCCGATGTTGTTTCGTACAAGCTCAGGGAGCGCGTGAGCGTATGCAAGGCCGCGTTCTGAAAGTAGTGAGTCCCCACCAATCCGGCCTTTGACATTAAACTGGCTCTCGCCGTGCTACAACAAGACTTGAGTCCAAGTTTCGAAATTTTCAAAAAAGACGCACTCTGGAAAGAAATATGTTGCGCGGCTTCACATGCAAATTCATTAAATAGAAGGCAATGCGGCTTTGCAAGTAACCATTGATTCTGCTGAGCGTGACTTCATTGCCAACATCTGTAATCCGCAGATAGCTGAGGTGGGGCTCAGTGATGGTCTCGTAGACAGCCTCATACTCCTTGATGCGGCGGAGGAAGTCGCGTTCAGCCTCTTCACGGGGAAGATCCTTATAGTCCGGGTCGCCGGAGGAGACCTTGAGGGCAACGTTGGCAGCAATGACGGCAGGATCATTGCATATGGACTCGAGGAATATGACGGACATGCCCTTTTCTTTGGCAACGCGGGCGGAGATTTTGGCACTGAGTGAGATGGGATTAGCTCTCACTGCTAGATGACATGGTGGGCGTACCGTCTCATACGGGTACTGTTGGTTGCATCTGAGGGGTGTGAATGGCATGACTGGAGTGGAGAGGGAAAATGTACCGTGTATGGCGACATTGCCGCCCCTTTTCAGCCAGCGAATGAGCATCTCGAGGCTGTCTTCTGCGAGTTGCTCGCGAAGCTTGGTGGCTTCTACGTTGTTGTGACTGAAGTAGCTGGAAGTGTGATCTTCGAGGATGCCACTCCTACAAGAGGTGAAGTATATAGAAGATACGAACAAATACTACGTACTGTTGGGCTTTTCGGTGTGCGCGTGAGCGGCGAAGCTGACCAACATTAAAGACCTAAACGACAGTGAGTATCGGATTGGCCTGAAGGCTAGAGCAGCAGACCTGTACGTCATACTCTAGCCACTGGGGAGAGTAAGTAAAATCGGATGGCAGGGAGAAAGGCGGACCTTGAGATAACGCATTAGCTTGTTGCTGAGGTAGGATTTGCCACGGGCGGGCAATCCCACCATCGCAAGGACGATCTTTGCTTCGGAGTAGTCTGGTTTGGCAACTTGCATGACGGAATGATAAATGAGTGAAGAAAAAGAAGGGTAAGGTGAGACGAACCTTTGTTTCCGATGCCAACAACGGAGCGTGGGGGAGTCGGGGCCTGAGAGCCTTTCCGACTGGAGGCGGTGGACTCGTCAAACTGCTTTAGCCTGTGCAGGATGTCCGATCGTTAATTTATAATTTGAAGTTGGGAGCAAAATAACTGATAGAGAGAGATCTGAGGACTAACATTGGCCCACCAGCACGGAATATGGCAGGCGGCCGGCCGCGAACGACACTGTCTGGGACGGCGTCTGCATCGTCTGCCATGTCTTCGATGGCACCGAGGGCTGCAGTGAGCTCTGAGGAGAGAATAGGAAACTGGACTCTGTTGTGATCTTCGTTCGAATGGTTCATGATGATTGCTGGAAAGTAAGACCCTTTGCTTCGTGATTGATATCATCTCAAGCACGTGCTCTACGTCTACCGTCTACGTTGACCGACCATGCAAGCAAAGGGTTTCCATACAACGCTCTCAACTAATATTCCTCTTCATGCACGGCATGAATATGCAGCATGCAACTTGTTCGTCCTCCATGAACTTCCAGCTGATATTATCGTTGACTCGTTTGAGCTCAATGACCATGGATTCCGCTTCCAGTTTGTGGGGAATACAAATCTGGAGCTACCCACGTCCAGGATAGCGAATGAATCAGGTTGGCTGCTGGTCGCTATCAAGCAGGAGGCAGACTTGGTCGTGGTGGATGTGCCTCTCCATGTTAGGTACGGTGTGCCGCACGAGGGTCATAACCCTCGTCACATCATCCAGCTACTTCCTCCAATTTGTTTTTGGGCTTGTCCTTCCTCATGTGCGCTTCAAGCTCTCTCTTGTCGCTTGTATCTTAATTATTTTCTTTTCTTAAAGACAAATCACTCCACGGTACACTCCCATCCCAGTCTCCCGAATTTCGCTTGCTCAATTCATTTGTTCAATTCGAAATCCTTCAGCACACAACTTCATCGCCTCTCTCGTTCGACATTCCCGTTGGCAACATTTGTCACACCCTCTATATCGAGTTATGTACCGTGACTATGACCCTCCTTGCCTTCGCCTACATTGTCCAGCACTGTTGGACAATCTCTAAAACCCTCTATTCTGCGCACCTCAAGATGCAATAGCTCCTTTTAGCACAGAGTATAGAGAAAGGCAAGCAAAATATCAGTCCCATATCCATAACATCCAATGAAACGCGTGAACGTGACTCGTGACTGCTCCCCTACACGATCATACACCGTCGTTGCTTCACCATCTTTCCCCAGCGTCCTTTCATACTCTCTCGCAATGCAAGATTGAACACGTCTTGTACACCGCTTCCCGTCTTTGCCGAGCACTCAACATACTTAGCACCGATTTCCCGTGCCACCGTCCCACCTTGCTCAGGTGTCACTGGTACCTGACCCTGTGCGCTAAGCATCCGTCGTGTTTGTTCGTCCCGCCGCAGGTCAGTCTTGGTTCCAACGAGGATAAGAGGGGTTCCTTCGCAAAAGTGGGCAACTTCAGGGTACCACTGGGATTGTGGTCAACACAACTGGGCTTGACACGATATCAGCAATGTACCTTGTCTTGCACATTTCCTAGGGAGACGGGAAAATCGATGGAGAACACAATCAGGATGACATCAGATTCTGGATAGGATAATGGTCGTAGTCGGTCGTATTCTTCCTGCCCCGCGGTGTCCCAAAGTGCTAGTTCTACTAGTTTGCCGTCGAATTGGATTTGCGTGACGTAGTTTTCGAACACAGTGGGTATGTAAGACTGTAGTCATACGTGAATTCGAGTTCGGAAATGTGAATGAGTACATATGAATGAGTGACAGGCGTAACTCATGCGTACCTCGGGGAATCTATTCTCTGCATATACGATGAGGAGACAAGTCTTCCCGCATCCGCCTTGAGTGTAGTGGGTTGAGCGCGGGCACGGATACTGAAGAGACAAGGGCAAGGGTCCGCGCACCATCTCCAACCACTACGAGCTTCTTCTTCATGTCGGGTCTTCGAGAGTCCATTGGCAGCGGTTAGAATTATGGATTGGGGAAGCAATATATGAAGAGATGGGCGATGGGATAGACAGCGAGCTGAAACAAATAGAGTAAGTCTTCAGGAAGTCTGCAACTCGTTGCTTGTTCAAAGCGGACAATTCCAAACGCGTTGAATGCACTGGTCACGTGGTGACAACGTACATACTCAGCCAGTTGCAACTTGCAAGTGCCAAGGACTCTGAGCATGGCATCTGTTTTCTGGCCATGCGATGTTGCAAGAAGCGGATTCTACTACGGGTGGGATCATCCTGCATTGTGTGTAGCAGGGGTGCTAGAGGTCGAGGAGGTACGTCGGATGTCACAATATTTGCCATTAAATTGTCGTGATTTATGGACCACGTACAGGACTCACATGCAGACGCTCTACTTCAGCGTGTCGCTCGTTCCACGGAAGCACAAGTCCTGATTAAAATTTGTGGTACTCCACGCATTCTCGGACGTTGTATATTCAGTTCATTCGCGAGGTCATCATACCCCCAACCAGATGTCGAAATGTTCTGCGGTCCCTCACGGTCTGATACTACTCGCATGTCTGGTATGCAACTGACTTTGATGTTAGCACATGCTCTGCTGCGTACATATACTACCATCGTCGCGATGAAAATTCTTTGCGGTTTTATGCCTTGGGTTCGAATGGACCACGCCTTTCCGATCTTCAGGATGAGGTCTTGCGCTCGAGCTTGAAGCACGATTTTTTGCATACTGCGTCGTTGCGAAGCGTGTCGAATACAGGGCAGATCCTCGTCAATCAAGTATGTTTCCCAAAAGTTACCTGTGTCATTTTCTGGAGTTTGACTACCCTAGTGGAATTCTGCAAAATCCCTCGAGCAGTTCATAGAGCACGAGCAGCGTGCCCAGGCTACCGTCATCCAAGAGCCCAACGCTCGCTTTAAAGAGACCTCAAAGTTTACGGTTATCAATAAGAAATTCCAATGTACAATTGACGGAATCGAGAGTTCGACAAACCTTTTCTGGCGTGTCGCGTCCTTTGTCTTCGTCTATTCGAGAGAATTTAGCATCGTAGGTAGGCATTGTGTTATGTACCGGGATTTAACATCCAGCTTGCACCCAGTCCAACAGATTGAATCTAGGGTGAGGAAGTTACGTCGCTTGCTCCGTGGTGTGCAGCCTGTTCCCAATGGGGACGTGAGGCTCAAGTCTTCTCAGTACATCGAGTGCGGCTCCTTCTTCAATCCCTTTTGTGTGGTGCACTCAAAACTTTTCAAAGGTTTTACAACACCCTCTGGATCATTTTAAATGATCTCATCATTGGGATTGCGCTTCGTCAATTTTTACGGCAGGACCGTCAGGCTTTTCTGCACCTTTTCAAGCTCGCCTTTGAGGTCTGAATTATCGAGTATTGCACCATACTCTTCTGACGTAAATGCCCAGGACAAGGCTGTGCATAAAATACGACAAATCCTTCTGTGGCTTGACAGCTGGCCTGCAGGCCTTAAGCTCAACACCGAACTCAGTCGATTCTACTCACATAGCTTTATGGGACTGATTGCGCTTTGGAACAGTGCGTGTTGACATCCAGCCCTGCGCGATACTCTACACAAACCTCATTGATGTACAGGAGGCTTCCAATCCGTCATACCTCTCATTCCTATGTTATTGAGTGCGCTTGAGCTTGGAAGCGGGTTTGGGGCGACCATGGCGCTTGCCATGGTATGTGATCTTGTCTGCGTCTTTATGACGCATGTACAACTATGCTATTTAGTCTCGGTGACTGTGTATGGTCATTTGTTACGCTTGGCGGCATCACTTTGGAATCTTTTTCGAGGTGAGGCCTTCCGCGATTCTATAACGAGAGCCAGTAATGATACGATTCAAGGACGACGACACAACGTGCTAAGGAATCGGACGGATCCTTGGGACTACGATGTCGACCAGCTACTTTTGGGGACTATTCTCTTTACACTGGTTGCTTATCTCTTTCCCACCGTTCTGGTGTACTACATCTTATTCGCTACAGTGAGTCTCAGCATTGATATTGGTGGCATATGTTACCTGACTCAGGTACAACAAGATGCGTGTCTCGACTATTCTAGTGTATGCGAGTTTGGAGACAATGCTTGCGTTCATGAATTATTTTCCACTTTTTGCATTAATGCTGAGAGTCAAAGATCCACAGCGATCACCTAGTTAGTAACATGGGACCAGTCGATGTATGCGCTAAAAAATACCCTAGGTGACATTTATATGAGAGTGGAACCAACCAAGGGCGGAAATGGCGTAGATGTTTCTGTCGAGGTGTGCCATATTTTCTCGTGATTGCGATGCTTAGTAATTCTGTTTCACAGAGCCACCCATTGCCTCTTGCTGTCATTTTCAGCCAGTATGGTACGTCTCCCCAATGCGGTAGCAAAATTACATTATAACACGGAAGACAGTCGAACTATGGAAGCGATTGGCAAAGCATTATCACCCATTTCGTCTCGCGTGGCATGTCATGTCAGGGCGAGTTCTCGATACCATCCCAAGAACATATATCCATAGCACTACCTGATAAATCTGTCGAGGGTGTATTTTCACTATGGCAGTAGTGGGTTTTGTGTTTGTCCTGGTCCGGCTTTGCACCTATGTTTCTCCCATTACCTAGTTAGTAGAGTGTGACTCCTATAGTGTGCATTACCTAGTCACCACTACTTTGGATGGTGGCTAAATGGTTGGTGAAAAAGCACTGACACCCTATATTTCAGTGTTCATTAAGAAGCCTAGGTTTATTTCCAGTTTGTTTTGTGTAGTTTATTTCTATTGTGGCATGGCAATGAGTGACAAGCTGTGACTTGTGTGTGACATTTAGATGGGTGAGAAACAGCAATTTTGATTCAATTGTGAATGAAAGTGCTAAGTTTGTACAAGATACAATTAGGAGATATGCTTTGAGGAAGGTTTTTTGGGTGAAGGCACAAAGCACCTCCTGGCCTTGAAGGGACTTTGTCCTAAGGAAAAAGGTGAGCTGCAAGGGCAGGTGGGCCACCATTGCTGAATCTCAGCTAAGTCACTTTGAGGCTCCTGATGATGTAGGAGAGTGGCAAGGCACTGGCTTGTGCAGCATGTGATGGAAGAGGGAGTGGATGGTGGGGAAAAGAAAAGCTATGATGATGAAGTGCATAGGGTGAATGGTTGTCATGGCAGAAAGAAGAGAGGTGTGAACATTGCTTCCATTGTTTGCTCAAAGACATAACTCTATTTCCTCCGGTTGTATCAGGACCCTGGCTGCTCCCTATACTGTATGTCCACCAGTAGCACCTCACAAGTCCTCAAAATCACCCATCCTATGGTCCTAAATGTTGTGCCTCAGAAGCCCATAGCACATACCTCATGTCCGTCAGTAGCGCCCCAAGAGGCCATGGATCCCAGACTGGAGGTCATGCCAATTGTACACTGACCAATGACAAAACTCAAATAGGTGTCTGGTTTCCCTAAACAGGCACTGGTTGGCTATGAATTGACAGAGGGATTCACCATGTAGCTATGTTTACTGACATATGGTACACTTATGTGGAACATTTGGTAGCAATAGTTGTGGTAGTCAAACCAGAATCAAACCATTATTTGTATCATCCAATCCCTGCACCCTTGTGAAGTCTGTGCTATGACCTGGCAAAGCATCCTAGATGAGTGTCATATCCCACAATCCAGACTCACATTCCATAATATTCCCATGCCTTCCAAGCCTATGTCTGGACCCCATATCTGACTCATTGCCAGATCCCCTTCCACTGTGTGCTCCACACCTTAGTAGGATTGACTCCACTCTGGATTTACCCCTGAGCTCCAGACCTCCGGATCCTCACTGCTAGCCTGATCCATACCACCCTATCCTGTCCACCCTATGTGCACTCCATCCAGCAAGACATCTGAACTTCACCTTGTCTCAGATTCAGGACTATATCCACCTTGTCATATCCCAGTCCTGTATCCACCTCACCTTCTGGATCCTCAGATCTCTGGACCTCCAGATATCAGCCATAACTATCTCCAGATATATTCCTGCCCTCTGTCTGATATCCTGCACCTATCCCCATTTAGACATCTCTGCCTTTCTGGCTTTCAGTTACCTCTTGTTCCATCTTGCTGATTGATCCTTGTTGTTAAGAACCATGCTTAGGGGAGAGAGAGACTGACTCAGAGGGGCTTGGTCTCAGCTTGTATGCTGTGCCCCTTACCTGAGTATGTGCCCTCCATTTCAGAGGAAGTCTGATGATGGTCCAATGAAGTCTGGAGGACTTCCAGAGGCTGGCTACTCTGGTGGAGAGTGTGGGAGGACTTCCGGAGGAGCGCAGGAAATGTCCAGAGGAGTGTGGGAGAGTTCTGGAGGAATGCAGGAAGTGCTCAGGAGAGTTCCCACTGCAAGGTAATACTTCTACAGGAAACAGGATGGAAGGATAGGAGGTCCAGAGGACAGGATGTCTGAGGGTTAGGAGGATGGAACATCCAAAGGTATGGAGGGCAGAATGTCCAAAGGACAGGATGCCCAGAGGTATGAGGGACAGGACATCTGGAGGTACAGAAGACAGGACATCCAGAGGTCTGGAAGGAATAGGGGCTACATCAGACTTTGTCTGATGTAGAAGCAAACAGAGGTAGACTACCCTTAGGTAGAGTCGGAGAGACAGGAAGTGGATCAAAGTCTGGAGAGAGGGTAAGTGCCAGAAAGGCAAGACTCCAGCCTAGGGAAGCAATCCCTAGACTTGGGACAGAGACATAGGGGACAAATCCGAAGGTCTGGAATTCCAGCCTAGGGAATCCTTCCCTAGGCCTTACAGAAAAGGACAAGACTCAGACAGACTGAAGTCTGGAAGATGATTGGGCAGATCTAAGGTGATATTCAGACTGAGGACTCTACAGGAGTTGTACAGGGGTTTTATACTAGAGGATATCTGAGAGGATCAGTAAGCAACAGAGTAAGGCTATGTACGAGCATGTGGAAACACATTGGTAAGTAAGATGGAACATAAGTAAATGAACTCAGAGATGAAACTAGTACAAGGATCAATCAGCAAGACAGAAACAGAGATAACTGAGAACTGGAAAGGCAGAGATGCCTAAATGGGGATAGGTGCAGGATCTTGGATGGAGGGTGGGAATGGTCCAGAGATAGTACAGTTAATATCCGGAGGTCTGGAGATCTGGGGATCCAGAAGGCAGGGTGGAAACAGGACTGAGATATGTGAGGTGGTGGATGTAGTCTGGAATCTGAGAGGAGGTAAAGTCCAGATGTCTTGCTGGACAGAATGTGCATAGGGTGGACAGGATAGGGGAGTATGGATCAGGCTAGTAGTAAAGATCCGGAGGTCCGGAGCTCAGGGGTAATCCAGAGCAGAGTTGATCCTGCTGAGATATGGAGCACACAGCAGAAGGGGATCTGGGAATGAGTCAGATATGGTGTCTGGAAATAGGTCCGGAAAGCGTGGGAATATGATGGGATCTATGTCTGGCATACAGGATATGACACTTGTATGAGTCTTCATCTCCAAGTTCATTTAGTTATGTTCCATCTTACTTACTAATGTGTTTCCACATGCTTGTACATAGCCCTGCTCCTTTGCTTACTGATCCCCTCAGGTATTCTCCAGTATATAACCCCTGTCAATACTCCTGTAGTTTCCTCAGTTTGAATATCATCTTAGACTTTGCTCTACTTGCCCAATCCTCTCTTGGACTTTGGTCTACTTAAGTCTGTCCTATCCATCAGGCCTAGGGATTGATTTCCTAGGCTGGAGCTTTGCCTTTCTGGCACTTACCCTCTTTCCGGACTTAGGTCCAATCCCTGTTCTCTCCAACTCTACCTTAGGATAGTCTACCTCTGTTTGTTTCTACATTGGACAGAGTCCAATGTAGCCCCTATTCCTTCCAGACCTCTGGGTGTCCTGTCCTCCTAACCCTCAGATGTCCTGCCCTCTGTACCTTTGAACGTCCTGCCCTCCTGTCCTCCTGTCCTCTGTACCTTTGAACATCCTATCCTTCCATCCTGTTTCCTGTAGAGGTGTTACCTTGCAGTGGGAACTATCCTGAGCACTTCCTGCATTCCTCCATAATTCTCCTGCACTCCTCCAGACATTTCCCACACTCCTCCGGAAGTCCTCTGGACTTTGTTGGACTATCATTGGACCTCATATGAAATGAAGGGCACATACTTGGGTAAGGGGCACAGCATATGAGCTGAGGCCAAGCCCCTCTGAGTCAGTTTCTCTCTCCTTTGAGCAAACTGGTTCTTAACAATGAGCTGAAAAAAGCTGCTCTGACAGTTAGCAATCAAGGACTAGCATCTGAGAGTATCCTTGGAGTTAAGCACCTGACACTCTAGCATTCTGCAGACCACTGGGAGGAGCTTCATGCTTCTGTTTATGCCATCTTCGGTTGGGGACAAGAAGGAGGTCTACTATCTTTGAAATTGAGTCAGGCAGACTTTCTCCTTATACATGACTTTCTGAATACCTTTGCCCACATCAAGCAAGATGTCAGGGAAGGATCTTGTCTGTCTGCAATGGTTCCTTGAATGGAAATGGCACTTGAGCTCTGGTGAGTTATCATTTTATTAGGTGATGGCAACTCATTACCCACTGAACAATTGTAGTCAAAAGGATCCTTGGTCACCTAAACATGAGTCATTGACATGCACTACAAGCCATGGAAACCAGTTAGTATCACACCCCTCTTATACCACCAGCATGGCATCATCCACAAAGTTTGCAGACAACCAGCCAAAGGAGTATATTGAGATTTTGGAGAATGACAAGTCAGATGCCCACACTAATGATGAACAGCAAGTGTTGAATTAGTAACTTGAAACCCAAAAGACTGAAGTCCAAAAGAACACACTGGAATTAAGTTCAGGCAGCTGCAGGCTTGAGAGTACAGCAGATGACCCTAGAACAATGAGTCCAGAGGTTAAATGAGGCAAAGACACAAGGACTTATCATTGATTTTGGGCCAAATTTCATCAAGTGCCAATGCAGAGTCAACATCAAGCTAGATTCTGGAGACTGTCAGACAATTCAGAAGCTGAAGAGTGGCAAAATCAAAGAAACTTCCCAATGATGTGAATACAACCTTAGCAATATGACTGCCACCTCCAGCGATGTCCTTGGGTGACTGGATCAAAATTAAAGTTGAGAACTAAACAAGAGTACATTCCTGTGAGTTCATAGCAAAATAATTACATTTCTTTCACTTACTAAAATCTCATACAAATGAAATCAATCACATCATTCTTTGCATTGGCAGGCAAAAAATCATCAGACACAATTCATCAAAAGTCTCTGGAACTCACCCCTCCACCCTCTGTCTCTCTGGCACAAGTTGATCAGATCAGCACAGACACCAGTGTTGCATGTATGGAATGAGCTGATGGTGCATATACACTCCTTGCAAAGAACACTGTTGCCGGAGATGTGGGAGAAGTTGGTAGCATTGCCAGTTGCAGTGAAATAGCAAGAGTCGTGTTTCCATATAAGTATGGAGGGTCAGCACAAGAACAACTGATTGACAGCATCTGTCATACCTTCTCAAAGAAACACACATACCAGTGTCATCATGGTGTGTTTTAAACTTAATGAATGAAAATAACAATAAGTTTCAAGACAAGACAAAGCAGATGCACAGCTTTTGGAGATAGATCTGAATGAAATCAAAAAGCATTGAGTCACAAACACATCTCTCATACTGGTTCAAACTCAGTCTGCCCAACTGAAGGAGTACTTGAAAGACCCAACATGTACATTGAGCATACCAGTTGCTTGAGCATGATGATTATGGTTGAGTGTTCCTTGAGCTATT